CTTACAGAACACGGTTTCACTATCGCGAACCGACCAGGTGAGAATGCAGCTTAAACAGTGACAACGGTTTTAATGGAAATGCACACCTCGCGCACCGAAAAGCATGCGCCTCGGTCTCCGAACACGTTCACACACAGACAGGCGCCAGTAGGGGACCAACAAAAAGGATGCCGGCTAATCTTTTTTGTCTCAGTAATCGGAGCCGGCTCGTGCTGCCCGGGTGCCAAATGTCCAATCCACCACCGCCGCCTCGGGCTCCGCCAACGCGCGGAGATCTTGGTAGGACGACTTCAATGATGATGATGATTATGGTGATGACGCTGGGGTAACGAGACAATGCGGAATGCGAAACAGTTGTGTCGCCGCTACCTAGTTGCCGCAAACCCAACCACTCCACATTTATCAGGTACAGAATGTTGTACGGTATGGTACACTAGATTCATGCGTGTGCATGCTGTCATCCCCAAACACAACATAGTTACGAATATGGAGGGATGAGGCTGATTACGCACGACAGAGCTATCGTACTGCACACGTCCACTAGTGACTGGCGTTTAAATATTTGACGGGATAGAAGGGGAAAAGGAAACAAGTTGATTTACTGGGGAACCCGACCAGGCAGATATGGCTGGAGATGACCCCAGGCCCTAGTCAGGTGCATGCATTTTCAACAGAATAGGAACTGCACAGTGAACGACGGGGAGTTCGCAGATGAGCATAACTCTCCGGCAACTACGTCGAACAATGGGTCGGGGCTTCTAGCTTGTGCATCTTTTTTAATATGGTTAATCAACTCGAGTGCGCAATTATATGCTACAAACTACGCGTCGGCAACGTGTAAGCAGCAGCCATACCCAAAACACTGGACGAAGATGAGTGACGGTAATTTGAGAAACATGCTCTGTTTATTGCAGAAGAACGTGGAGAAACAAATATAGCCTCTCACCTTCGGAGTGTACACGAAGACAAACCACTATCAAATACCCGGTCGGTACGTATACAATCACAATTACTTCTCTATATCTCTCGATAAAATCTTTAGCGAAGCCTTATGGCTATTTTCACGATTGCGCCAGAGCAAACCGATGATTTAGCTCTAATGTCAATCATAAAGTCGGTCCATATGGCGATAAAATTTACACTTAAAGAACAGTCTGGATACCTCCTATTTCTCTATATAGAATATCTCACGGCAATATTTGGCGTAGCGTCTAAAGTAAGAAGATTTGGACGGGGCAGTATATCCATTTTTGGATGTTTTGCACCATTGAAGTTGAAACGTACTTAAGTGTTTTTTTTAAACAAAGGACGATAGGGATCTGTTCGGTTAAAAATGTAGGAGAAATTGACATTGCAGAAAGTTTCTTCTGACAGAACAGATATCTTGGTCGATTCATTGTGAAGAACATGACCGAAAGACAGCAAATATCCTCCGACGCTAACAACAGACAAAAATTTTGTTCACCAGGGTGTCGTTTCATGGGAATGCGCCGAGTGAAATTTTAAGAAAGTCCACCTGTATCAAACACACTTACTGCAGATGACGCATATGTGCTGTCCTCGATTAGTTCCATGCTATACGGAGAGGACAAAGATAATCTGCCAGTTTTCCCTCGTCCTTCGTTTGCTCTAGCGGGACAGAATATATTAGTCGCACAAACCGGCGTTTGTTCAAAAGAATGAGTGAAAATATTTCAAGCAAACAGTTCTATCCTCGCACATATAGTATATAAAGACAAACGCATTGGTGCCAGAGCGGCCTTCTGGATGATTGGCGATGTTACCTCCAACTATCCAAAACTATTTTGATGGCGTCTGTTGGTTACGGCAGAGACGGCTGCAATCAAATTACGCAACCTGACCCTTCTGCAAAGATGACCTGCATACAGGTGCCCCAGTCACAGTAACAGGTAACCACGCCAACCACCCGCATCACGCTATCCATCCCCACTCCCCTGACGCTGACTCTGATATTTTTTCCCCTACTCCACGCACGCGCTAGTTACCGCCCGCATCTTTTAAGTACTCAACTAACAAGATAAATGTACAGGCCTGAAGAGAAAGTCTGTCGAAGGTCAAATTGTCTTTTTGCGCGTTGAAGCTGATGGAACACGACTTAAGTGTTTATATAAACTGTCGGTCCATTCTAAAAGTCTGAACACTGTTAGACACTACGCCAATTTCATCAGCTAATTGCCAGCCTCGGTCAGTCTCATGACACCTCAGCTTACTTAATCTGATGCACGTGAATATAGTGCGGCCCGCTAAACTTCGTGACTTGAAAGATTACCAACTGACGGGACCACTAGGTCCTTCTAATGTCTGAGAGTTAGGCTGCTTCTTCTCCGGGCAGCCTTTTATGGCATTCACATTATATGAGATTCGAGTCACTCTTATTGTCTCCTGGTAGATACAGTGGGAACCACCTCGCGTGTGTGACACGTATAACCACGCTACTTATCTGTCTCAGTCAGAACACTTGTGCTCATCCCCGGTCATCTTGACCTTGTTTTGACACCCGAGCCTGGTGACTGGGGGAGGAGAGATGTTGCGCAAATTAGCCTCACTATAAGCTAATTCACGCGTAAATCATCGATGCACCATCGAAGTCGTCGCGTTTGCATAGTTATTTCCGAATCATAAAAGATGGATCTCAGACCCGGGAGTTGAACTTGCCTCCCAAAAGTTTGGTCCAGACAGCCTCCTTTTGCAACCTAGTTAAAGGAGCAAATATTTGTCATGTACAGCCTAGATCTTGGTAGCGAAAGTGCTGCTAGGTGTATCTGTGAAATATATGGAGATAGAGAGAGAAAGCTTTATTTTGAAGGTAATATCCAAAATTTTCTGCAAAAAATGGCTCCATTTACGAGAGCAAGGAAAAAGGTAAAGTAAAACCTCATAGATACCGATGACCTGCCATTTGCGCACACTTATAGCGACTACAGGGGAAAGGCTCTTTGTACAGGACACTTTGTAAACCCAACTTAGACACTCGGCGTCGGAATATCCTTGTGCTGTTGCAAGAGTTAAGTGTTTTGGAAGTAATGACTGGCCAATTTTAAGAAATCAACTGTAACCATTATATAGCGATAAAAAATAGATGTGCAGAACAGAAACAAAACGTCTGAAGGGTCAGGGTGGGGCCTAGTGGGATCGCGTGTCAACTTGTGATCGTTCTTAACACATTCGGCTAAAAGAAACCAAATTTATGCGGTCCTTGTCCAGACATAAATTAAGTTCGCTATGGAATCCACTCCCTACACAACAGTTCTAGGCTTATATTTAAGTCTC